TCCGTCTCTCTATCCACGATTATCCGCCATAAAATCGAATCGATTCTCTACCCGATTCGATTCGTCCCGCTGGTTCGAGCACGGCCCGATCGCCTCTTGAAAAATTCAACGGGAGCCAAGCGTATCTCAACCGGAAATTCGAACACGGAGTACACACATATAGAGACACCGGCCGGGTTCAGCCGGATAGATCGATTCGTCAAATGTAATTCAATTTGAAAGCGAGTGGACAAGAAAAAGACAAAAGCGTCGGAAGGTTCGTTAATAAAAACGAGTCCACTCTATCATCCCTGGGAGTAATTGCAGCGAACTCCTTCGCACGTAGGGAGCGCAGCGCGCGCGCAATCGGTTAGTTAATCAACGGACGATTGTCAGTCGATGCAAAACACGGATAAGCTATTCGTTGGGGATGGTCACGGTCTGAGCTCGAGCTCGCGTTAGCTACTTCCTTCCTTTTCACGCGAAGGCGATGGAGACTCGACGTAGTGGCCGTTCGGGCGTTCGCGATAATGCACCGTGAATTGTGCTGATGCGCACGATAATCGATCGACGATAAACGACGTCGGACCGCGTAGACGTTCCTGGGCGCGATCGAATTAGGAGGCTCCACCGCTCGCGGATAGCCTTTTCTAATGAGTTTGCTACTTGTCGATTTATGACTTCCGTTTGAGTAAACTGATGAGCGAAAGGGGGCTGGCTAGAAGAAGCCGGGCAAAAAGCGGTTGTCAGCGGTTAACAGATTTCCTTGGGAACGGTTGCTCGATGGCTGGGATGCGCGTATCGGTCAATAGTTAATTTTCTTCTTCGACTTCTGGTTAGATCGAATAGGAGCTCGTTCAATACAACGGCGCCACTTTCGATTCGTTCGAGCAAAAACCGTACATCGGATTTTGCAAGCTGTTCTATTCTCTCGTTAACGTGTTTACTAGTCGGAAGATGCTTTTCATTTCACTAGATTAGATCGAGTCCATTTCTAACCTCTCCCAATATAATCGACTATCTGGTATATGCAGTAAAATGAGTTATACAAGAGTGGTTTCTGAACAACAGTTTCCTTTGGTGAAATATAAAGTAAAGCATGGTTTTTAAATTATTAATGAAAAATGCTGACCAATGAGAGCGCGCGTAGGGCCTGCGCTGACCAATGGCCGAGCGTTAAGATCCGAGCCAGGACTGCCATGGCTGAGNTACATCTTCTTCACGTGTTTTGAAGCAGAATTCATGTGTTGTTCAAACATATGTAGTATACAAGTCGACTTATATGCATCTAAGCCGAAGGTACCTATACTCTGTTCACCGAGAGTGTGGGACCGTTTCGCGCAGCTTGGAAGGTGGTGGGGGTCGCAACGAACCCCCTCCACACGGTTCAGTATACACGATATTATTATATATATATACATTGAGATGCGCAGAACGAGCGAAAACTGAACTGTGCACAGTCCCGGACTCTCGGTGAACGGAGTATAGGTTTCAGTGTATTTACTGGTAGGTAAGTGGTTTCCATTTCACTCGATCGACTCCATTTCTAACTCCAACGTCCTCCAACATAATCGACTACCTGGCATACACGATAAAACTCGTTTTATATTAAACACCATTATTCTTCGATTGTAACAATAAACATAATCTTAGTCGTCGATCGACCGACAATAGCTGTTTTACTATCGCTTTCCCCGCGAGTTAAAGTGATAAGAATGTCAGGGAGCATAGGCAGCGTTTTTATCGTTAGGAGAAGCCACGGTCGGGAAGCCGCATCGCCGGCGAATAAAGAAATTGAATCACGGCTTAATCTCGTACGGCACGCAATACACGAAAGAATAGAAGGAGACGAGAGGAGAAAAGATGGAGTGAAGAACTCGCGCCACCTTTCACGCTCCGTGTCTCAGTTATGCATGCGAATAGGTTATGTACGCCGAGGCCGATGCGTGTCAAGGAACATCCGCGGCGTAGGAAGAACCGGCAATCGGGTGAACGATCACGGGGGCGATTTAAACCGTCTTCCACGCGATCCGTAATAACTTTCATCTGAGAGCCTCATTCCGTGTTTATGCCCTACATTTTCGTCCCCCTTTTAACTTAATTTATCCTCCGACCATAAAGACTTGTATAAATTGAGATTCATTTTTTACAACCTAATTAAATAATTAAAAAGCACGAATACTATCTGAGTCACGTTCAACGTGTTACGAGTAAAATTAAAAGTTACTATAATTTACTAGAGGCAAGATTTCTATATGGATACGAGCACCGGGTGAGAAATCTAAAAGTATATCTGAAACAATTTAGATAGCCCACTCGTAGAACATGGAAGAGCATAAAGGTCGCTGGTTTATTTGTTTCTTTTTAATCGCGCGAACATCCGAATAAAATATAGCGGAATTACAAAAAACGCGTGTGTATAACACCGAGAGAGAGAGAGAGAGAGAGAGAGAGAGAGAGAGAGAGATTGGGATATCGGGCACGGTCGTCGAACGTTTAACGCGAGAATCGGTTTTATTCCTGCTATCCGGTTGCCCTGAATAATTCATGCCGCCCGAACTCTCCTCGGCATTCCCGAGATGATCCCGACGTTGCAATTCCTTCCTCTCAGACGGAGGAAAAGTTGCATCCCGATCGGTTGCGTTGCGAAAGATTAAACTTTATCCCTTCCCGTGATGCACTTACGGAACGATATCCACCCACTTTCCTCGCGGAGCCGTTTCCAAGTCGCTTATGTCTCTCGCCGTCAGAGAGAGAAACGAGTGAGAACACTGGCTCCTTAAGTGCTTCTTAATTCTTTCCGGTAAGGAATCGTAATTTCCACGGAGAGGCTTCCAGCACCGCGGTGTTAATTGTTTAGCACCTTAATTCCTTCGAAAATAATTGCCTACCGTCCTTTGTTTTTCCTATACTTTTATCTCGTTTTCCAGTTAAGGATGTATTGGCTATACAGTCAATCTCAAAAGTTTATGTAGCTTAGAAANTTTTGCACAGAAATTGTAGATCTCGTCGTCCCCTACAAAAGGAGCCTAAATACGCCCCCCTACGTCCATCCGTTCGGGAGTTATTGAGGAAAAACGAAAAGTCTTTTTAAAAGTTAACAAATTCGTCGGGCGAATTGCAAAATCTGAAGGCGAATTCGCCCGTCGAATCTGTGAACTTTTAAAAAGACTTTTCGTTTTTCCTCAATAACTCCCGAACGGATGGACGTAGGGGGACGTATGTACGCTCATTTTGTAGGGAACGACGAGATCTACAATTTCTCTGCAAAAAGAATTCGCTAGTGCCAATAGTTAACGAGTTATTGACGAAAAACGAAAATCTCGAAAATCTGAAGGTGTACCCCTTTGAAAAAATCTCGGAAAAATAAAAACGATTTTTTTTCTAAAATCTACGTATTACCATAAGAGTACATGCAAATTTTAAGTCACTATAATTTTTGAAAAAACCCATGAATTGATTTAAAATTTTACAGGTAGCTTTTTAATAGTAATAGGAATCCATAATAACAAATCCGACATGTTAGCATTGTTTAAGTATATAGCCTATACATCCCTAAATTATATGAAACGCTAAACTGAACCATTTAACGATTTGCCTTCGAAGATTCATACAAGATAATTCTACTTCAGACGAAATCATGACAAAGTATGGACCAGAATAAGGCGAATAAACGAAAAGCAATCTATTTTATGTCGGATATAAAGAAGAGACATGGAAAGAAGTGTGGTCGTTGACACAGTTAAGAAGAATCGTCGAAAATCAAGTTCTCGATTTTCACCGAGTTCCGGCGGCGAGCGATGGCCGACTCTCGGCTATCGACTTTCCGGCGACCTAAGCCTTGTTTATTTGTCCGCGAGACCGCGGGCAGAAATAAATTCAGGCGACGCGTCGAATCCGTTCCGCGTATTCTGCACGCGATTTCCGTGCGGATCGCACGAAATTAAAGCGCAACTTCGACGCCGTTTACGAGACCATCCATCAACCGGCACGGACCGCGATAGTACCGATTCAAAATTACGGTCTCCGGTGTCGCCACGCCGCGCAATATCTTCATTCGTTTTTGTTTTTTTTTTCCCGTTCGTATTTTGCTACGGTTTCGTCGTTGTTTTCAACCCCGAACCGCTGCCCGATTCGAACGGAAAACAACCGATCGATCGATTTCCCCTGTATTTTTTTTTCTCTTTTTTTTTAACTTCGTTTATTCCAACGGTACGATTGTCAGCTTCCCGGTAAGACGCGGCCCCGGGTGGTTCCTGATAGTGGATGCAAAGCTGATTGGCCGGTGGTGGGGGGGCTGGGTGGTGAAAAAAGAGAAATAGAATAGGAGGAAGAGTAGTTGTTGCGATGGGAGGTTGGTTTTCGGTTGATTGGATTGGGTCACAGGAGTGATTGGGCTTTTTTTATGAGATGAAAGCAAGACTCGTTTTTGTAAAAGGGGACACAAATTGGTGGAAGATTATTCTCTCTTTCATTGTGTAATCTCCTGTGACGAATGGTGAACAGGGTAAAAAATTTAAAGATAATCTAACCAAACGGTTCATCGTTAACTGATAGAGTTTGAGGTTAGGATTTTTTGAAGCTTTCAATAACTCAAACACGTGCTTGTATCCAATGGGAGATAAAAAAAGAACACTATACTTAATATTTATTTAAACACAGTAGGAATGGTTATCAGTTTTGCAGGAAGTAAATACTTATAAGACTCTTAGGAGTCCATGTTTAAAGAAATGGAAGCCATGTCTTTTAAATGAAGCTTTATTAAATCGACTCAGCAAAGACGTAAAAGAAATGACGTCTTAGTCAGAAGTTAACTACGAAGTGTCTCTCCAACTGCCCTTTGACCTCTCGAGAGCGCGTCTGACTTCACCAATACTTGTATACTTTTATCTATGAGATAACAGTTACATATACGCTGCATATATTATGTACTTTGTTTAACAAATGAGGAATTATAATAATTGCTAGATAAAGCGGAGGCACCGTGAGGAAAAATCGATAACTGGAAGAGTCGTTTAGTACTTTAGACTCTCGTACAGCTAATATCCGGCGCGGCGTCCGCTTCTGCCCTCGGACGACGAACGACGATTCAAGACCTCCCAGGCCACTAACACGAATATTCAGGTGAGACACGAACCAAGACCTCTGCCTCTCCCCCCCCCCCTCGTAGCTTCTTCCCCTCCTTCCCCCTCATTGATTACGTCCGAGTATTTCAGGGTGTAACAGATGAGACAAGAGAAGATTTGTGAGACAACAATAGGTACGAGAAGAAGGATAGACCAAGGCTATGTACCGCAGAGAAACGAAGAAAGGGAAGACGACGCGTAGCTACACGTATTCACGGGAGGAAGACTCGTGGACAGGCGGATAGGAAGACGAACGAAGAGAGAGAGAGAGAGTTTACAGTATCTATATGCACAACGTCGTGTAATCCTGCCGGTTCACGTACAGGGTGTTCGTGATTATCCGACATCCCGAGCAAGCAATTTCTCATGGTCACTCGAGAGCCGGTAGGTAATCTCGAGCCATCCTATGGTAACGTACGGCACCGCGACAAAGGGATTCTCGAAATTTCTCATCTCGAGCTAGCTGAATCTCGGTTATCCACGGCCCGCGACGTTGACAAACAACGAAATTCGATCTCCTCGCCGCGAATTAACGCTAAGAACCTTCGATCGTCTTTGCTCGCAAGTTTACATAGTAAAAACATATTCTCCTGTGAATCGACCAACATAGATCGGTATTGGGAATTGACACATTTACACCTCTCGTGGCGAACAATAGAACTAGACGAAGCCATGCGCAGAACGATCAAAAACTGCCTAAACTTGGGACCACGAGTATAATTCCTGGCTTCGCGTCGCCATGATGGTTAGTTAAATTTATTGATTCAATTGCCAATAGGATCGAGTGAAACAGTCTTGGGAAACTGGTGGCGCTAGACGAGAAATCGCGGTCAGGCGACACGCACTCGTGTGCAGCTCTCGTGAAAATGTGGATTGCGTGAAACAGGCCGTTGCGAGAAGAAATCCGCGGACGTCGTTATGTTAGACAATCGATGTAAGATGTCGAGCATGCTAGTGCAGATTGTGTAGGCACAGAGCGGCGGGTCTATAACACAGTCGGGGCACGGTAGCAGCCTTCGAATTATACAAGCTCGCGCGGCTGCTCTATCGATCACCGCGGGGAACGTATGTAAGTAGTTTCCGCGCGATCGCCGTTTCTAGCAATCTGAAATCGGGCGGCAAATAATTCACACGGCTCGGCGCCTCCGAGCCAGATTAACTGCGACGCGACGGATCAGCAGCCGAAACGATCGTCGAGGAACTCTCGGCATACCCGGGGCACGTTAATCGCCTAGGTCATTGTGAATAAATCGAGTTTAAAATAGCTCCGATGCAAGTTTGATGGTAAGACAAATTGAGCTTTCGTGAAGTTAAACTTCCGAGGCTGATTTGATTCCAAAACAATTCGGATGTATGAGATGTGTAATCCGAATCGCGAAATCATTTCACTTAACACGTTGCTGCATCTAAACGATGTGTTGTTACATACAGAATCGTGGTTACTTGTTGATGGATCGTATCTTATCTTCTCGACAAATCATCTAAACTATCATCTATAGTGACCTCAAGGGACTTCGGAGCTATGTAAAGTATACCTAAAAAATATGTCGTATGTTTTTGATATACTTCGTTAATACCAAACGTGGTGTTTTAGGTATAGTTTATAAAACTGGACCAAAATTCCTTGAGGTCACGAGGTCAAACAAGTAAATAGAAATAGTTATATGAAAGCCCATAGGGATGTTCCTGGATGAGAAACGAAAGATTCCAACCCATCGAACAAGCAGTTCTCTTAATTATTGATCAATGCCTCTCTTTTCGTGGGACCAAATCAAATCTATTGAGCCTCAGGTTGATGGCACGTTCGAGTGAAGCCGAGCCATCTGCCAAACAAATTTCGAGCAATAGACGATAACGATCTCGTTATTTCCGGCGGTCACCCGTTAGAGAGTCAAGTTAGGGGCCTCACGGATGCAGAAGAGGCATCACGGGACTTTGTTGTCGTGGTCGGGCCCTTAAGATCGAGTCCCACGCGTTCCCAGACATTCCAGCTAGTAATTGCTGGCTGCCGCCTCCTATCTTGCCGACGTTCGCTCGCTTCTGAGCCAGTCTCTCCGCTTCTCTCTCCTGTGTTAGCTATTTCCTATCCCTTCCCCGCCACCCTCTCTCCTCTTCCTTCCACCAGTCTTTTTCTCCTCGTAACACGACTGCCCTCTGCTCTCCGGCGTTGCCCTTTCCCTCGCGCGATTCTTTGCATCGTGATGCTGCCGTTGCTTCTCCTCGACGCTCGTTAGCGTCGGGAAAACGCCGCGCCACGCTGACCGAGCGAGCTAACCTCGGCGAACTAAACCCCGGCGCGCTAACTGCATCGACAGAAATCGCTCGTCCACATTGCCTCTTCCATGACATCGTCGTCGTCGTCGTCGTCGTCGTCTTCGGTAGAATGACGCGAGGCATCGCGGTGATCTCCACCTTCTGCCGTCGTCGTTCTCACCGTGCCTACGCTATGCGCCCGTAGAACCGCCTGCCTCTTCTCTCCTCTCTCCGCCGTTCTCCGATTCTTCCGCCCGCATGTAAACGATTTGCCCTTCGCCACCGTTAACGCGGATCGCGCGCTTTCATCCTCGGAGCCTCGTATTTCCGAAGGCGTGATCCGGCCCCCCGATATCTTCGTTAATGCCGGCAGAAGTATTCGTTTCGCGCGGTCGCTTCGCTGCTCGTAAACTTGTATAATTAAGAGGAACGTACGAGCTACCTCGCGGCCGAGGATGATTCGGCTCACTCGTTGCCGGCTGCCTCGCGACGTTATTAGCTTTTATGCGGGAAGGGAAAAATCCGGTTTTCAGCTACTTCATTTTTATTTCTGCTCACCGGCGAGGTTCAAGTATATTATCGTTTATACGCTCGCGGTTTTGAGCACGGATATTTTTTTTCTTAACGAGCCCCTTCCGACTTCTGTGCCGCGTCCACGCGGTACGAGGCATGTAATAACAGTTGTAATACGCTAATTGCGAGGCGCAGGGGGACTCTTCTCGTGACTCTAAGCGTTTAATTTGCATCGCTACACGGATACACATATTAATATACGATCTCGTTATCACCTGTTTAACGAATATCTTGTTACGAAGATGATACCCGCGCCTCCGTTCGCTCCTTTCTATTTTTCCCACCGCCGTTAATTGGTTTCCCTTCACCCCTTTTTATCCCGGGACAGAAATAAACGTTTCTCATATTGGCACCCACTTCGTGTTCCGACGTAATTATAGTTATCCCCTACCATTTTATACCCCTATTATTACAGTAATTACTACCAGTAATATCGATATTATTACGCATATTATTATTACTCCCGGCAACCTCTTTCGCTCAGATGGCATTGTCGCTTTAACTGTAAGCGCGCGCGTGTCGTCTGCGCCATTATTGAGAGTGCGATAAGTTCTGGCAATATCTGGATACCGCGCCGGAAGAACGCTTCATCTTTTGACGCTAGCTATCAATCGACCCAATTTTTGGTATCTTCATATGACGTGAAGTGTTGCTCAGACAGGCCATGCGTCATCAATCGAAATAAGTAGTAATCAGAATGAGCAATATCTGATGAATACAGCGGGTGGGGTTAAACTTCCCAATTAAGTGTTTCCAAGTAGGTTTTGGTTGGCGTCGCAACATGAGGACGAGCATTATCATGCAGAAGAATGATTTCGTCGTATCTGGAGTAATAATGGGCGCGTTTTTCCTCGAGTGATCGGCTCAATCTCATCATTTGAGTTCGGTAGAGAGCCCCAGTAATGATTTCATTCGTTTTCATTCAATAATGCTTCCAATTCCGCGTCTTCGTACACTTTCAGCTTTCCACTACGTTCTTTGTCTTCGACATCAAATTCACTGTTCTTAAACTTTTGAAACCACTCACGACAACTTCTCTCACTTAATGCAGTCTTACCATATGCTTCTACAAGCAATCGATGCGCCTCAGCTACAGATTTCTTCAAATTAAAGAAGTAAATAAGAACTTCCTGCAAATTACGTTTATTCGGCTCAAAACTCGACATTTTCGCACAAAAGAAATATACTGACACTAGCCGCCATGACTTTATTGGTTGCGCTATCTGATTTCAAACGGCGGAGACATATTTGTACACCTAATAAATTTTTCTCCTCCCCGCTGGATTTTCGAGCCAGCGTCCGAAATAACAAGACCGCCGAAAATAAACCTCGGACGGCACGAGGTCCGGAATTAAATTCGCGACCACAGTTTCCAAAATATATACCGCTCTCGGGTTCGCTCTATTTTTCAGCAACGATCTCTCGAATATGAGAAAGCACGAGCAAACAACGCGTAAAAATCCGATTTCCCGAGCGACGCGACGAGAAAGCGTGACGTACGGTGGTCTCGCGTTCGTCTTGGAGAGAGCGAAACGCAACGGCGGCGGCGAGGATACCGCGAGGAATGCCGGTTGGATCAGTTCCAGACGTGCTTATCGTTTGATTAACCGTCTTAGCTTCCGGCCCGGTGTACTCACGTGCGTGATGGAAGGAACGCGGGATTGCTCGGACAATAACGGCCGGCCTCCGGACTAAACCCCTGTCAATTGCCCATCTAAATTCGGGAATTATCCTCGCGTTATTGTTATCCGACCACCCCCTCCCCTCCCCGTTATTGTTATCTACCGTGCGACGTGGTACGTGCAATGATTCCTGGCCAGCGTTAATTTCCCCCATACGGGGACAAGATTCGAAAAAAAGAGTGATAAGTCTATGTCTTTTTCAATGCTCGACATGCAGTTCCAAAATAAAAACAGTTTTAATTAGGTTAGGTTAGGTTAGGTTGAACAGAGTCGCCCCGTTCGCTCGGATCTCGATAACAAATTGCCAGCGGACGCTCGGGACCGCGCGGCGACGAGAAAAAACTGGTCCTTCAGCGATTTCCTTCGACCTCGATCCTCGTCTTCCCTCCTCCACCGACTCGTTCCTCGTCCGACACTCGGAGGCACGAAAGAAAATATCGCGATACCTTCTAGCGACGAGTTGTTCTTTTTCCACGTTTGGTCGCGCTGCGCTCGCCCGCTGGCCAGCCTCCAACGCCTCGGGGCTTCACCGTTTCCTTTAAAGCGCGAGAGGATCGCGACTCGTTATAGGGACACGAGTTGATCCCAGGAACGTAAGGATGCCTTCCGCGTGGGAGAGCCTTGGGACCGATAGATTTCCTGCCTTTCTCGTCACCTGTTCTCGTCCTGTTTCTTATTCTCGTTACTTCGAAAGGAACTAGGAAGCAGACGCGACGATTGATAATACTTTGGAACTGTTCGTTGAACGGTTCCACGAACGTGCGTAACTTGCTCTTAGAAAAAGTCGACTAGCTAGTGTCGATTAAGAAATTCATGGGATTCGATTCGTTGGAGCAGAAAATTTTTCTAAATAACCGAAATTTTTATGGAAAAAAA